AAATTATTATAATTCATTAAAATAGCTACCACAAATTTGTTTTGAAAACTTAAATAAATTCCAAAATACTAAAGATGAAATACCAGTGCCAGGGCCGGCGCTTCCGACGTGATGACCGTCGATGCGCAATTGATGTGTTCCCTCCAACAGCTTCTTGACCTAAAAAAAGGTAAATTATTTTGCTAATTAATATAACTTTACTGCTCGTTACGTAATGCCATTCATTTTTTCCCAACAACCATAGACAATAGAAATTGCAATAACCCAAAAGTTTGAAATAATGTTAGGAAAGCGAAGATACACAAAACGAACATTTCATTTTGTCAATCAGACTGTTACTTTGTGCAACTTATCGAAATCAAAGTTCGAACCTCCTTCAGAACGCAATAAGTCTCAGATATTCAACACCAATGAAACTACCGATTAAATTGAAAGATAGAAATTATTTGGGAATAATATAAGGTCACTTAAGAACACAATAGTAACTACAAAGCAAACAAAAAATGGGCCGAAAACTTTTCGATTTCTAGCAATTAAAAGAAATCCTTCACAAAAGTCTCTTTAACATAATTTTGGAAGTTATCCCTTTCAATCATTCTTCATCTGTTCACCTCTACACTACATTTCCTTCATTATGTGCAATGTGGAAATTGCAATGGAAATTAGCAATCTTCACAACTATTTTTTATGCCAAACGATTATTTACTAACCTCCTTCTAATCAAATCTATAAACTTTCTGGCAAAATTTAAAATCCATTACTTCTCGATAAACTAAATTATTGATGATAATGAAAATTTTGTAATATTTTCAGTGTCATTTTATCTGAAAAAAGAGAGAGGAAAGCCTTTTTTCTTATTTGAGCTTCGAGTTAATTGGAGAAAGTAAGAAAAATGAGATTAATTAAATTTCAACATTTATAATTCGTTACTCCGAAAATTCATTTGTCATGTGATAACAACAGATTTCGAAATATAAAAGAGAGATAAGATTTAAAAAAAAGCATAGAAAAATTTTTCCAATGTCAGAAACTTACAATAGCAACTATTAAATTTAAAATAGTAATATTTTTAAATTCATACGAAGAAAATTAGGAAATTTCTTTCGAAATAGATTTTTTAATAATTGAGAGAGCATGAAAGAAAAAAATAATATCCACAGTATAATGAAAGAAATTTTAAAACAATAAATGATGATATCTAGTTGTCAGTTATGTAACAGTATAAGGGGAAATCTAAAATATGCAACATTTTATATTTCGGTAAAGGATTAGTTACCAACATAAAAACGATTATTAAGTTTTTAATTTTATTAATTTCATTTAAAATTCCGAAAACATTAAGATGTCAAAGCTGTCATTAATAAATAGAAACAGACGTTAAAATGCAACTTTCAATTTTCATTTTTTGTTTGAAGCAGCGATTAACATGATATAGTGAATAAAATAGAAAACGTTCTTTGATTAAGTGAAAGTCACAGTAAACCGAAGATGTGATTTATTAAATATAATGTGCAATTAACAAACCCCATGCAATTCATAAGGTTTGCCAATTGCACATTATATTTAATAAAAAAAGGACTATTCACATCTGAAAATTTAACAACTTATTAAAAGTTTTTTAAATTTGTCTCACAGCATTCACTTAAATTTTAAATATTCCATGTATAGACAGACAAGAATGTTTAATTCCAGGAAATCAACCAGAATTTTCGGCATACAATCATTCGGGCGACTATGCATATGCAATGCAAAAGCTGGACATAGGTGGGACAACGATTGAACAAATTGAATTTACAATGAAAAAGCTATAATTTTATAGAGCTGTCTGGACCAAATGCAGAGATTTGGTTCAATTCAATTTAACTAAAATAACAATTACATAAGCCTGAATATATTTTTCTCTGTGGATACAACTTAGTAAGTCGGGTATGCTTAAATAAATCAAGAAGGGACAGACATTGATTTCTTTTCAGGTAAAGATTTTTATGAAAAGAAAAAAAAGAGAGGATTGATAAATTTGTTGAAGTATTTTTATCACTGATTTGATGTGGAAAATGCAGGAAAAACTAGTTGGAAATTTATGATATGATAATAAAAACATTTACACTTATTAATACTAACTAGCATCTTAAATTGGCTCACAATGCAAGTTTTTCAAGCCACGGTGCTTGGCGTAGGATTTTAGAAAACTGATACGAAATTAGAAGGAAAGAATCCAATATCTGAATTTGAAAGGTATGATGTCCATATATTTACATACTCTTCCTCAAGCTGGAACTTTTATCATTCTAACGAGGGGAAATTATAATTACTTGATTGAAATAACTCTTTTATGGCAATCGCTCTTTAATGCAGAAATTTTTATAATCTGCCCTATTACGTATCTCTTAAAAAAAGAAACAATTGGAATAAGAAAAACATATACTGATGAGAAAATGTTTGAGGAAAAATACAACCACCATTTGGAAAGAAGTCATAACTGCTGAAAAAATTCCCGAAATTGGTAAAAAAATTTTAAGGTAATAATGGGTTCAACAAATTGCATAACAATGTAAATACAGTTCAGCACTTCTGATCGAATTTGCGGATGTTAGCTTGAAAATATTCATTGATTTGCATCGCCTCGAAATCGGAAATTTCATTGCATATATTATATAATGCAAATATTTCGTCAAAAAGTGCACTTTATTACTTTCATACTAAATTGCTAAATGTTTTCTTTTGAACATCATTTTTTGAAGTCAAAAAATGGTAAGTGCGACCACGAAGCTCCGATTTATCTATTCCACACATTTGGAATATTCAATCCAGCGATAGCGCACACTTTAATGTTTGAAAAAAAGGTGAGAAAATAAATATATTTTGCTTGGATATTGGAAAAATGAAAGTCTGAAAATGCCAAGTGGTTGGATAAGACGTTTATTCAAAAAACTAATTCTTTCAACATTATCATAGCAATAAAAAAAGGACTGAAATACTTAATACAAATATACCGTTAAAACCGAAAAGGATATTTATTGCTATCTCGCAAAATGCTGCTTGCCTTAGTGACCCCGATGATTTACAAAAAGAGACTGTAGACAAGTGCATCTAGAATGTCATCCGAGAGAATTATCGGTTTTAACACTTAACAAATGAAAATGAAATGTTGAATAATTTTACTTTACCGATGCTGTCAAAAAATCTTCATTTTTAATATCACTGAAAGTTCTTTAATTTACTGAAATGCTTAAACAGAATTTAATCTTGTATGGTCGTTAAACGTCATCAATAGTAATTAATTTGAAAGGGAAGGATCCGATCAGTTCCATAATTCCAAACTCAAAAAATTACAACTTTACGAATTATTCACTGTTGCAGCGAAAGAAACGTTTTGTTAATCGTAAAATTATTGGCTAAATTAATGAATTTCAGCAATTAATTTGAAAATTTCTGCCATTTAATTGATAGTAAAATGAAATGAAATTTTGCTTAATGGTTGGTTGCATTATGCATTTATGAGCGAATCATTTTGAGAAACTTCAAAAAATGAGGTAGAAACTATTGATTATAAGAAACTTATGCCTTTAATTTATACTAACACAGAAGGTTATCTTATAGCATAAATGTAGGGAAAAAATTATTCTTTAAACGAAGTGTCGCTTGAATTTATAACAACCTTTAAGCATTGAATACCTTCTAAATCTTACCTTATATTCAGACATTTCCTCTCCAGTTTCATAACTTATGCTGTGCTACAGGCCTGGTTGTTCAAATTGTATCATATATAAATATAAATGATAGCTACTTATTGCACTCAATCTGTGATTGTATTTTTCGTGAGAAGAATGGTTAGAAATAAAAGTAAAATTCAAGAAAAATAGAATGCATCAATGCGTAATTAATGCGAACGGTGAGCCAATCATATTATAATAGTAATAATAATAATAATAGTAATGATAATAAGCATAAGCGTCAAAGCATAATCTCCGCAAAAAAATTTATTGGTCCATGAAATGATGACTCATTCAGGTATATTATATGTTTCCCTGTGATGCCTATTGTTCCACCTTAGTATTCGGGAGGAGCTAAAAGGCCATATTGGAATCAAAAGAATATAGACATGGATCAGTGGACAATTTTCTTAAATGGAGACAGAGGCCGTTCAAATAAGAACATCAGCACTAGTATCCGATATTAACAGATAAACAAACATGCAAAGTAAATGGCATGCAAATCCAGGAACATTGTTCTTTTCATATTGTCAGGCCCATTCAAAATTCGAAGTTTTGACAAAAGGAAGCTAAACTCTTGAAAGGTTTGGACGAGAACAGCTTCATAACCGATTGACACTGATAAGCATGCATACAACAACACAACTAAAATGACACCACACAACACACACACACACATCCCACCCACACAGATACACAGACAGGCATATCCAATGATGTACCTGATAGGAAGGGATCGAATCCAAGTGACGAGTTTTCTCTATTGGCGTCCGCTGAAATGATTCCATTATTTATTTCTACATACACAATATCAGTTACTATTACTATCATCGCTGTTTTATTATTGTAACTATTGCTACAGTAATATCTCAGCTAGTCGCTACATTCACTGCAATCATTATATCAGTCCACTATAATTATTAGTGATTATGATTATTTCGTTTCAGATACTATCTCTTTTGATTTGTCGTTTTTGCCAGTAATTTCTTCATCTACTGCTTAAAGTATTGCTTTCTCATTTGTTTGAAAAAATCTCAAAAAGCTTCATGGATGAAAATTTCATTCTTCCAGATTTACATATCATGCAAATATTTTTTCTGCTTTGATTTCGTGAAGGCAGATTCTAGATTTATAATAAATTTCAGGAAAATTTAAATTTAGAATATACCTTTTAAACGTCACAACGAAATAGGAATTTAGAGAAGTAAATCTGGAAAAGATTTTAATAAATTATTGCCCACTTCATTAAAGTTCTATTGAAATCTGAAATTTCAATGATAAAAAAAATTAATATGAAAGGTAAAAGATAGAGCTAAATAAATGGTTTCCATGACTATTATTAATTTGTTCTGTAAAAACTGATAGGCTTGCCTGCGCCCAGTAAGGTTTTGAAACAGCTTCAAGCCTAATTTGCAAAAGCTCAGAAGGAAGTCGTCGATCGGATGGAGCTTCTCGATGAGTTATTCGCTGGTAGGAGAGTGGAAAGAGATTAATGGTTGTGGTAGCTGAACGTGGTGGTGGTGGTGGTGGTGGTGGTGGTGGTGGTGGTGGTGGTGGTGGTGGAGGTAACTGATTTGTTGTTGTCCTAGTAGAACTCTGGATACTGGTATTTGTTGACTTAGTCAAGAGGAGAGGTAATCGAATACCAACAGATTCTTCAGCCGTTGGATTGTCAGGACCCCAATACGGTTTTTGATGCTTTTGTTGCTCTAGCTGTTTCTGCGATGCATATGGTGCGCGGTTCGTTTTATCACTTCGAGTAATGCTTATTCGATTTCCCGACCGATTCGGCGAAAACATGCAATCGTTGCTCTTTCTTTGGATACATACAGCAGCAAAAATAGCTGAAACGTCACAGTTCACAGTGTACCAGCTGAAAGTTTTGAACGACCGTTTGTAGACTAACAGAAGTATTACAATGATTCCAAATAGTAACCACACCGATAAACGAAGTGATGTAAAAAACGAAGGTATCACTTTAACACAGTACTTTCCCAACAAAATGTCTTTATCTGCTTTAAAACTGAATGATTTTTCCCAGTAAGTAGAAAAACATGATTGATAACAGGGAAATTACGGCAAAACTCAAATGTTGTAATAGTGGTAGCGAGCAGTAATGATACTGTGGTAATTATTTAGGTAATACCTCTCCAACAGATTTGCCTGTTAATTTATAATAAGCATTTCAAATCGATGCTTCTTTTGATTCTATCAACAGTAGTAAATAGGCTTTTCTATACAGACAGCAACAGTTCGGGCTAATTTTTGTTAAATTCGAAACTTCGTTTTCATTGCTGTGCTCAAGTAAGATTAATGCACCGAAATTGAAACTCCCAGTAGCAGTCATTCCTTTAGAAAAATATTTAAAATAATATTTCCAATAGAAAGTATTGGTTTTTCAATGACCAATTCTTGGAATAGAAAGTATTGGTTTTTCAATGACCAATTCTCCGAAAACTTAAAAATCAATATCACTACTAGTTTGTAGGAAACAATTTCATTAAACCTTTAAAAAAAGAAAAAGCAAAGAAGAAAATTTTATCACCACAAATGTTTTGGTAGATCACAAGCTTGAATTACCAGCCGCTAACTCATAAAATAGGCCAAGTATTCTAAGCATCTTATGGATTTTTGAACGTTATTTATGAGATTGTTCCCACATAACGCATGTAATTTTATGCAAAAAAAGAAGAAAAGAACCTAAATAATGAAAAGAATTTATCAAAAACTGTAAGGAAATTTATTGGAAATTACTTTGTATAAATTCGATTCACTAATTAAACACATATGGAAGAAGGCGGCGGTTAAACAAAGACAAGCAATCTCTATCTCTGTATTTGGGATCTAAGGTTTGTGTATCAATTGCCTGTATGAAGATTTCAGCAAGTCTGAATGAGGAAAAGTTTTTTGAATGCAAACATTTTTCCAGTGATTTGTTGCAAAAATCTGGAATAATGGACGATGTCAAAAATGATTAAGCCTTTAGTTTCCGTAAGAAGAAGAAGAGTTGGACCCCAGTAATAGTAAGACAATTTATTTAAAGATAGAGCTACACGCTTTAAATAATTGATTGCTAGCTACCGAAGCTTTCTTCATTGAAGCCCTAGGTTAGGAAAGTTGTAATAGTACGAATTAAATAAAATTCATTTAAAATAATTTAAAACGAATTCAACTGAATTAGGCTGAATTCAGATATGAACCAAAAGTGTACGGTTTAAAACAAGTGTACGTAAAATTGAATAGATTGAAATTTCATATTTACACTTCATGGTTCAGAAAAGATAAAGCACGTGGCGCAAAAGATTTATAAATCAAGTAAGAGCAAATAAACCAGAAAAAGAAGCAAGTTTTTTCAATTAAATGAAAATAAAAATGTCAACTTTTATAAATAGAATGTTTTTAGCTTAGATAAGAGAAGCAAAAGTGGCGAACACGACATTTCTTCAATTTCTCTTTTTATGATTGCACCCTCATCCTATCATTCCATCATCTTGATGAAACACATATCTTCAAGGCTCCTTTTTCTATGCCTCATTTGTCAACCCATTAAGCAGAAAATGGTCGATTCATTTCATGGTAATATGCTGCTTTCATCGTAAAATTCTGATTTTTCCTTCTTTTTAAGATAAATAGCGCATAAACTCTGAGAAGGTCATGTTTTTGGTTTATTCGACAGAAGCATGAAATCATTTCAGAGTAGCAAGATTTCTGAATTATGGTTCGCAGTTGGATGGTCAATGTTAATTCCCTTGTGATTTAAATAGTGATTTATCTTTTTGTGAATAAAATTTGTAGCTTCAGCAAATGATCAGCGAAATTCAAAAAATCAACCTAATTTCGCCAGTAACTCGCTGCATGTCATAAATTATGTCTCGATCAAACATTGTTATCAAATTTACACTTCAAACTCACCATGAAATGTCAGTTAATGGCCATCCGTTTAACTTATCACCTCTTGAAAAACATAAACAATGAATTATGTTTCTTCTTAATTAAAATTTTTAAATTCATATTTTCAAGCAGTTTTAAATAGGCAAGATTTCATAAACAACTGCATGGAAATAAAAACTGAATACGAGCATAAAGGAAAGATTAATTGGTGGATACTGGGTCAATGGCAAATAGATCATCTTAGGCACTGGTAAAATTATAGAATCAAGCAATGAAACTGTCATAGAACAATAACAATAAATTTTAAATTTAAATGAATAAAATAAAAAAAGTGCAAGAAATGTCTTGAAATGAGCACGAGCTTGTATTACTTATTCATGAACCTTTGTGACACAGCGTACCTAGTCGATTCATTTCAATTCTTCATCTCAATGCTAAAATTACCTCATTTCTTCCTGTCCAACAACAACCACGATTGACACCTGCCAGGTAGATTTTAAATGAGTTCAAAAGTTTCCAAACCCATATATATATATATATATATCTTTTTCCATCTAAAATAATTATTCCAACACAACCCAAAACTATTCATACATAAGGAGCAAAGATCACAGAATAGTTATCCAAATGTTACAGAATGAAATTTTGATATGTCATTCAACGTGGCAGAAGAGGTAGTTGTTTTTTTTCACGTGAAAGTTTATAATTTGATTAAATTCATAAAAGAGACTATACCAATATATGCTTGACGCGAAGAATCGAATATCTATAAAAGATAACTTGCCGTGCACCTTCCTTCCTTGTTCAGCACTTTTTTAAAGGATACTATTATACTTCAATGAGAGAACTTTGTTTTGGAACTTTATCGCAACCTTTAGGAAGTATCCGACGTTTTCCAGAAGATCAAACAACATTAATTTGAGTTTCTCTCTTTCTAGTGGCAAGAGGAAATAATATTCTCATCAAAAAAAAAAGAGATTATAGTAGTCTTTCGTCTCTCCGAGACTGAAATCAATCAATAAAGCATCATTAGACAAAATGCTCTCCGGATCCTGCTGCATAATAATGTCATTTATGAGGTGTCACACATATTTCAATCTAATATCTTCTTTCTCTTAAATTAAGCAGAAAAAAGTGCCATATAGATGCAGAAAAATAGGAAAATAATAGCGAAGGAAGAGAAGAAGGAATAAGAATCGGTAGAAGAGAAAAGGAGAAATGAAGTGAGGGAGGAAAGAGGAATGACAAGCCTGAATAGATCTGGATTTGAAACACCCGGTTGGGTGTGTACCGTTACTCGTTAAAGCCTTGATGGTGGTCTCAATAATGTCTTAAACTCTTAAACAAACAGTTTCGTTGCCTATCTTAGGCATATATATTTGTTGAAATCCATATTTGTCTGGCTCTCTATTCATTAGGTGAGTAGGCTTATCTGACTAGAAACGGCTTACCCATTCTTCAGGAAAGCCTCAGCTTTTCGAAGGATATGGGAGTGAAAAGTAGAAGGAACGAAAGTTACTATCTTCATAAATAAAATAGTGGTGGGCATCATAGAAACCGAATCATGCTGCAACCAATATAAAATGTGAACTGAATGAGAACGGCAACGGAACACTTATGGATGTCATAAAGGACGCTCCAAAGATGACGGGAAGAGGATAATCATCGGCTAAATCGATCCTTCTCATTTATCCTTTGGTAAAAAATAATTTTTTTCCCTCTGAAATTAGAAACCTTCATGTTCCAACAATAATTCTTCTTTAGGATCAATCTATTCTTCCAACCAAAAATAAACCTCAATTTCCAACATTTTTAAATTTCCTGAAAAGAACATTGCAAAAGTCTTCAGATGCCTGTTGAAAATACTAAATTTCTATCAGCTATGTTCTCTGCCTTAAGCACATAGGCCACATAAAGTTGCTATTAAATAGTTCTAGGCTTTCACAAAGTAGGGCCGGAGAAAAATTGGAATAGGAAAATCAGATAAATGAATTATCATGATTTGTGGCGTTCTCAAATACTTACATTTAATGATTTTCAATCTAATTTTTCATGCATTCGCGAATTAAACACAAACATAACTTGATTATTTAAAGTCACGATACTATGGTTACGGCTATAAATAGCATTTAGATTTATGAACAAATTTGAAATAAATACTTGAAAAGCTACTTGTCAATTTAGTTTCGTCAATAAGCTTTTGAACTGAGTAGAGATAAAAAGGGGTGGTAAAAGCGAAGCTAATTTACTACGATCAATACATGATAATGTCTTGACTGAAATATTAATACATTAAATAAAATTGGCGACAGATAAACTAGTGGTCAAGTTCGATAATATAATGTGACAAGCGCGAAACACCAAAACATATGAATTTTTCATAATCAATTTGTCGCTTCTTAGTTTAAGAAAAGCTAAGAAAAAGTAAAGATTGATGAAGTGAAATGCTAGAGATTCCATCTGCAGTAATTTTCGTCTTCATGCATGCAAATAAATAAGTAAAATCCTTTCATTACATTTGATATACGAAAGCATCAAACGGCTTAAGATACATCTAAAAAATTCTTCCTGCAATTGATCCGATAAATTCTTTACTATTTTCCATACCTAGTCCCCAAGTTATTTCTAAATGAAGTGACCTCAGTAGCAAGTAGTCAAACTAATATTGTTTTCGTAAGAGTTATTGATAACAGGTTTCTGTAAAACTACTAAATAGGACAACATATTTACTGAGAGAAATTTATTTGGAAATGATTATCAAGATAATCAATAGTTTGATGGAATATTCTAAAAACCGATAACAATCTTAATTCTTATTCGATTCTCATTCAAGAGAAATTGTATAGCTTCTTTACCGGAATAACCTTGCTATAATCTGTATTCATGTTATGGATTTCTTTAGAAACGAA